GAAATGAAGCTTTCTGTGTATAAAAACTATATATGTGCGTGTTGTTTATTCTGGAAATTATTTCCGAAGACTTTTGTAAATGACCCATGAAAAGCATAAAAAAGAAGAAAATGTAGGAAAATGATGTAAGAAAAATGATTAAAAATAAATTAAGGCATCCATGTAGGTGTTTTCGTAGAGCCTGTGGCAGGTTGGTTTTTAAAAATTGATAGGAATTATTAAACAACGAAGAGTTTATTTCTTTTTTGTTTCTTATTTGCTGCAGTCTGTGCAAAACAGAGTGCTAGACTGTACAACAGTTTTTAATGCCCTTTCTTTTCTACAAATCCCACATTCTTTCTTACCCTGAAGAGAGTTGCATGTTCTTTTTCCTCTGAAGAACATTTTTTATTTTCCTGACAGGGCCTTTTGTGCAATTAGATAGAGAAGTCACGGCCAAAAAGAAAGAATAACATATTTAAAACCATACTAGAGTACAGAGAATAGGTAGTAAGTTGTTGAGTCTACTACTAGAAAAATGTTTGCGTTAAAATTGTGTTGTCATAAATCAATATCCACATTTAGCCTTAGCTATAAGCATCTTTGAACATTACACGATGCAAAGAGGAAAAATTAGGAATTAATTGTAGCTCTCCTAGAAGAGAGGAGGGGAGGCTAAAAGATGCAAAGCAAGCCAAACACAGTACAGACATGCATTGTGCGGCATCCTCACCCATCTCCAGCAGGCATTTGTCGTAAATCAGAATTGGGACGATCTGACATTCAATTCATGGGGGTTTCCTACACAGAGATTGCCAGTCATGCTGATTGGTGCCAAGTCTTGTGGTAATTTTGTGCTGTCAAAGTATCACACAGCTATCCAATTTATTGTAACTGTGCCCTGAGAAAAAATTAAGCCGAGGAGTGAAATACTGGCCCTACTTAAGTCCCTTCCATTGATTTCAGTAAAACCAGAATTTCACCCCAGGTGTCTAGAAGTGAACATCTAGTGTCATTTGCCTCAAAGAGGCATTCCTTTGCAATTATACTCTAACAGACCTAAGTGATTTTAAAAGGAATAATTTTGGGAAGCACAAAAGTAACAAAAAAATGGTAACTAGAGTAGAGACTGATGTCTGTACAGATCCTTTTCCTTAACCAAGGTTTCTTCTCTTTTCCCAACCTCGTCCATGCTGTAACTAACTATCTGGTTGGGATATTTTAATGTAATTATTGATTTACAATGCCTAACATTTCAGTTTACAAAGCATGTCTCGAAGGCAATCTAAATCAAAGCTATTAAACATAGTACAGAACAACTGAAAGGACTTCTCTGCTTTTCAGAAATGCAATAGATTTCTCCTCTGTTTTTGCTCACTTAGAGATTATCATTTTTCAAAATCCTATTCTTCCATGATCCCTGAGAAATGCAGCATCTTCTACAGCACAAATGCATTTAGTAGTTCATTAGGTCAGAGCCACTGGATTTATGGTATTTAAGATGCTTTTCCTACAGTGACCTCTGTTTGGAGCTCAGTTTGATTTTCAGCAGTGCTAGACTGGTTCCTGGAAATAATCCCTATCCACTGAGGCTTCATTTTAGGATCATAAGAAAGTAGGTCTGGAAGGGACCTCACCAGGTCATCTAGACTAGCCCCCTGCTCAAAGCAGAATCATCCCTGAAAGATCTAAACCATCCCAGCCAAGTGTCTGTCCAACCTGCTCTAGAAAATTGTCAGAGGTAGAAATTCCATCAGATGGAGACCCGTGTCAGTATATGATGTGGAAGAAGGGTCACAAGGAACACTCTCTTTCTCCTTGCCCAGCACCTGGGAAGTGGTCATTATACAACGTCTGGAACTGGTCACCTTAGATATGTTATTGAGGAGTATTTTTCCTCTCCCTCTAACCCTGTCTATCCCCATCTTTTTTTTTTTGCTTCTGTGTACAATCCAGCACATTGACCACACTATGAAAAACTTTTCTTTGCAAACCAGAATCTTCTATTTTGATTCATTTACCATATTTACTTGAATGTAAGATGGCTGTGATTATAGAACCCCTCCCAATAATTAGATTCAATATACAGAAAAATTATGTTTGATAACATTTCCCAGGTGTAGAATATACTTTTTTGGAGGTTTCTCTTGAATGTTTCCCCTTCCTACTGTTACAGCAAGCAAAATAAATCTGGGGGATCAGGTACTCCCTTTTGTCCTCTGCTCCCCCAAAATTCTTTCCCCACTCTTTACTGTCAGACCTTGCTCTCACTGAGCATGTGGAAGTGAGGAGCAAATTGAAAAAACTGGCCTTGAAATAAATAAGTTGTAATGATTTACATATAGTACACGCAGATTTAGTTCATCTACAATTGATGCATTTGAAACTGCTGCAAGTTTTAGCACAAGTACTCCATAAACACACTTTTAAGCAGCACTTGTGTACCTACTTATATACAGTAAAAAATATGCATGATGGTTCAAAGGGTTAGGCTGACCATATGGAAATCCTGGAACTCTGGGACATTTACAAGTTGGCAGGGGCAGGGCTGTATGCTAAGCACGTAGGAGTGCCTGCCTGCCCACCTGCAAGGCAGTCTGTGCCACTCCAACTCCTGGCCAGACTGTACCTGTATTTCTAGGATGCCCATTAGTAGTTTAGATTAGTAGTTCAAAGATATACAATGGCTTTTACTCCCCCCCCCATGCTGACTGGGGTGGGGGACTTATCTTGTATTTCAGTAAATGTGGCAATCAGATTTTCTGATCAATTGTATCCCACATATGAAAATAACAGCATGTAGTTTGACTTGCGCTAGTTTTGTTATGCTTCTTGCAATTCTTTGGTTCTTTCTCCCATTAAGTGATCAGTGTAAAATAAGATTATTTTTATGTTTGCAAAGCTGTTGAGAATCAAGACCAGATATTATTTTAATGGCACTGCAGAAAAAAAAAGTGTGGCAAATTTCTGGTCTTTGCACTGTACTAGGGGTTTAATTTATCTCTTACTTTACCCATTACCTCTTGATTATATTATATAACCTAGGAAAAGCAGGAATTTTTCTTACCATTAGCTAAAGCTTCCCATCCACAAACTGCTAAGCACAGTTATTTCCTGACATCAACTTTATATTTTGAATACAACAAACAAAAAAGTAGCAATGCCCATGCATTTTATGAATGATCAGCCAGCCATATGTAGACATAATTATGGATGCAGAGAAAACATTCAAGTGATGCTGATGTTGGAAATGAGCTCTAAATAGATTAGAAGGAAACACGGACCAAATACTTTTTTTAATCCTTAATCAGGAGACAGAATGATCCATGGATGGATCTAAGATTTTGAAAAAGGGAGAGGTACAGCTGATGTGGTGAAACTTCACATATAACATAACACATTTTTCTCCACTTACAGAGAAAGTAGAAGTTTTACTAAAATGCCAGGGGTCTAGCGCTTTATTATTCAGCTTAAGATCAAAGCAAAAACAAATATAACTTTACAGGAATGCATATTAATTTGAACAGATTATTTTAAAAAACACAACAAACAAGACAAAATAATCTAGAAAGTATTTTATTAGTCTTGTAGTCATAGTTTAATGTACATCTCTTATTCATATTTGTAAAACAAAATCTAGCCCTTTTGAGTGTCTTGACACTCCACTGTCAGTCATTTCCATACCTGAATTAATATTCATCTAAATTAATGTTACTGTACCTGAGTTAAGATTTTTAGCCAGAGCTAAGAACAATCTGCAAGGCTGTGAAACAGAAGATAGATATTACTAGGAATGGCTAAAAGAAAACAAAACTGCAGGAGAAAGAAACATCAAGCCCATTAGAAAAGAGAAAGGGTCATTAACACAGGTGGAGTAAAAAGAGATTAACAGGAATCAGGTTGACTATAATGAGCCATGGAGTCAATTAATTCCTTCAATAGAACAGAAATGTTGCTGCCCCTCTCAGATAGTTGGTTTTAATGTTTGCATAGATCAGGTATCAAGGGGGAAGCTGGGAGAGGGAGTACACATCCACTCCCCCTAGATCTGCCCCTGGACTAAGCTAACAACAGCCTTCCCTAAAAGGTCGTGGACTGCCATAAATGTCATCAATACCAAGCTCTTTAAACCTGAAATATCATGAGTATCAGAATAATGTTATTTTAGACACTACTACGATTACCAGGTTTGATGCACATTAGAGAATTCTGCTGCCACATCTTTTAAGACATTTACCTTATGCCACAGTTACACCAGTTGCACCCCTGAAATAGAAGCGACACTCAAGCCAAAACTATTAATATGGGCAAAGCAAAACATCTGTCTGGACTGAAATTTGGCACAGCATTTCATATTTTGGTTTGCTTGCTTTGAGCATTTAAAGACTCTGCTATAGTCAGGAATATTAAATAGAATTTTCAGAGAAGACATCAATTTAGATCAACTACATAATTGTAGCAATTATGTAAAGTATGCCTCTTTAAAAATAACTCTATGCATATGGATTTAATTAACAGACCCAACAACTTCTTTAGAGCCCCATTTGGAAAAGTGAATATGCAAGCAGAGTTATGGCCAGATCCTGAACTTTCAGGCATACACCAAGGAAAAGGGAAGGATCCTCTTTTCTGCCAAGCACAGCTACACTCGAATATGGCCGGGTTACTTCTTAGCACTTAAAAGCACATGGGCCAGGCCAGCAGCACAATCAGTATGTAGTATTTAGAGAAATATGCTCCTCCACAAATGCTGTGTAGCACATGCCTAGTGAAAATTTTCCACTCTTTCCCAGGCTCATCATGGTGGAGCTAATTTCATACATGCTATTGGCACTGCTTTGCCAGAGAAAGAAGAAATAAACCCACCAACCAATACCTTACAAGTCATCTTTGCACTCTGAAGGTGCAATTTCCACACATATAGACATACCCAACTTGACTTTAATCTCCCGAGCCAGCGTACTGAAAGTAATAAAGCTGTCACAGCACAGTCCACACAAGCCTCCCAGAGTCCTGAGTACCTGTTTGACAGCTGAAACTTCTGCTGCTACAGCCTCCTTGATACGGGTGTTCCCTTGGGTACATCTGCACAAGCTGAACTCATGCTTCCAGGTGCACTGTAGGTGTAGCCCAAGTCCTTCTATGGGCATTAAAAAAAGCAGTGGTGCCTAAGACCAAACCTAAAGGAAAGGGGAAGCCAGAAACATGTAAAACGTGTATGGCAGAGAAAAGTTAATATAGCTGTACAAAATAGTGGCAAATGATTTCAGATCAAAAGTAAATTTATTTATTGGTTGTACTCATTACTTCAGTATCTGAATACTTTACAAGCCAATTAAGCTATATAATGGTTTCAGGTAACTTGAATTTATATTTGTATTCCTTTAGGCCCCGACAGATGTTAAATTAAAGGTGTGATGGGGTCTGAGGCAGGACTCCAACAATCACACTTCCTGTCATGCCAAACATGCACAGCAGGAGGCGTGCTTGTGGGATGCAGCATCAGATCCCATCACGCCATATTGCGGGTGCAGGGGGAGCTGAGTGAGGCTGACCCAATCAGCTGACCAGGGCTTCCAGCTGGGAGCACACAGGGAAATCCTTGACTCTGATGCACTCCCCAGCTGGGAGCCCTAGCAGAGCTCCCGGGTACTCTCCTGAAACTGGGAACTGCAATCAGCCGACCGGCACTCTCAGCCTTCAGAGCACACAGAGTCTTGAAAGGCTCCAGAGGCAGGGAGCGCTGGCCATAGGGTCAATTAAAAGTGTGATAGGAACCAGCCAACAAGTTATTACACATATTTTATGTGATAACTTTGTGGCTTATTCCTAATTTTATCACACCATTAATTGAATGAACGTGTGACCAGGTCACTAAAGATACGATTAACCAGCCTTGGCTACATGACCCCCTAAGTCATCTTCCTCCTTGCCTTCTCCTCTCCCCACTATACAGCACACTTATAACTTTGGTTCCCATCTCAAAGTTCCTAACATAATTAATCTTAGGAATTAATCTTTCATAATGTTATTTTTCAGTGTAAATAATTGCATTGGTTTCTAGAAAGATGTATGATCATAAGTGGCTGAAGAGGTGATGCACCAAACAGAGAACAGAGAAAGATGGATGGTACAAGACTTTAACAGTCTTTGTTAAATTTTAGTCCATGCTACCAAAACTTCAGAACGCTAATGCTCAACTGCGTACATGCTCAACAGACAAAAACTCTCTCTCTCAAGAGCATAACATCCATTTTTGTCTCATCTGCCTTAAATAAAAAGCACATAAAAATACCAAATCTAAAACTTTTCTGTAACAAGCATTAGAAAGCAAATTACATTAGGATATGAGTTCAAATTGATTCTTTATCTTTAGAGCACATTCCCATTTTTTCCTCCTCCAACTAACATTAATAATAAATGTTAGTTGGAGGACAGTCTTAGCATTAAATACTCTGGCTTTTGTCATTTTAAGTCAAACTCTTAGCAGTGATTAAACATAGAGGTTGAATTTAATACAACAATAAACTCTTTCATTGAGTCAAGAATTTGAATGAGTCCTTATTTTTCTTAGAGATAAAATGCGTCTGTAAAATCAAATGTGACCTAACATTTAACAGACCTGATAATACATACTTGTTTTTGGATTCTCAGGCCATTTTCCAACTGCTTTTTAAAATCATGTCTGTAGTACAAGTGAGTGCATCCTTTTATTTATGGGAGTTTCTGGCAAATGTAAGGGAGCAATATTTTCTGAATCTCATTGCATGTATAAGTAATAATCACTGAGTATACAAGCAGAAATGTCTGTAGTTATAATAGATTCATTTTCATTTTTATTTTATAATTGGTATTTTGGTGGTAGTCAGGGGCCACAATCATAGGTACAACTTTGTACAAATGTAGCAAAAAAGCCCAACATTTTTGCTCTAAGAACCAGATATGCTAACTTAAAATTTAGCCTATGGCTTAACATAAAGTTATAGTTACACAGGAAAGGCCAAAATTTCTGTTAAAAAAAATGTTTGAAAAATATAAACCAGATTTTGTGATTATTTTTCCCCAATTCCTGAAGTGTACTCACTTTACAATGTTTGAAAAACACCAACTTTTATTGTTTCTCCCAAATTTCTGAATTAGTATTTGTCCTGATTTTTAAAATAAAAAGTATTAAAGTATACTGAAATGTTGTGTACCAAAAATCTGATCTGTATTAAAAAATATGGTCATGTTGATAGTATATTTTTTAAAAATAAGGAAACATTAGAAAGGCCAATTAAAAGGCCATTAACACTCTGGAGACTCAAAGATGAAAAAGGCCTGGAGATATGTTTGAGAATTTAGTATCTGGTGAGCAAAAATTAAACAATAGAAACAATTTTATATTTGTAAAGTAGTAACTATGATCACCTAATGTAAATATATATTCCTGGAAAAAAGAAAAAGTGATACCGTTTCCCTTAAAAAGCTTATTTCCATCAAGGCAATGTTCTATTGTTGTTACTTTAATTCCCCAGATTTTAAGAACAGAATTTTGTGTTTTTAGCAGTACTTGCTGCAGAACATTTCTTGCTTTGATAGTCAGTTACATCACTTGTGCGCTGCTTTGTTGGGAGGATATGAGTTTGTAACAAAAAAACAGAACCTGGGACTGAAGGAAGCAGAAAGAAGATGTGTACACAGAAACCAAACAGCAGCCCTTGCATATTTGTTTTCAGGCCTGCCTGAAAGATCAGTGTAACCTTAAGGGAGCAGAAGAGACTTCAAAAGAATTCTTTAAAAAAATTAAATAAGAATTGAGGGTATTTTATTTAAAGCTTTTTCATTCAACATTTATTTTTTTAATTAACCTGTTATAAAAAACTCTTCTTAATAACACTGTCTCAAACCTTAAAAGGAACTGTTTTTCATATCTTAAAAGCAGTAACCCTAAATAAAAATGGGGATTTTCAAAAATACAAATGGTCATTAGCGGAGCTGGTCAAAAAAATATCAGATGCCATGTTTTTTCCATCAGAATAAGTCAAATCTTTCAAATAAAAACGTTCTGTAAGAACATATAAAATTTGACATTTCAAACACAATACATGTATGTAAGTTCTTCCCAGAATTCAAACATCTTTCAATGTTGCTTTGAACAAATGATTTTCATATATATATGTAATTTGTATATGCTTTTATACTATGAAAGCCAAAGCCTACCTTAACAACTGAAAAGTGATTTGAGGACCGGTGCATGGGCCTGGCAAATAGGTAGGCTGTAGGCCATATGTGGGTCCTTGCATTTAACTATCCCTACTAAATCGCACTTCTACCTAAAGCCATGGCCTTATCTCTACCACAGCCCCACACTGGATCCCATGTGGGCCCACAATCCAATATACAATCCCATGTGCCTCACAATCCACCTATACTCTATACCCTGCAGTCAGTCTCCACCTAACCACATTCACAAGTCCTACCGCCTACTGCCATGCCCCAGCCACCCTGACCCAGCTCCATGGTCTGACCAGCCTACTACCACCAGGTTCCTCTTCCCAGGCATAGTACAGAGATTGAACTGGCTTTGTATGTTCCTCAGTTCCTAATTAACCTGCTCACAGCCTACTAAGGTGGTTATTTCTGGTCTTCATGTCTCAAGGAAAATGCTGCTTGGTGCCATGGGACTGTTTGAAAGAATCAAATGATGCCTTACTACCTCTCGTCCCCTTCCTGAACACTATGTCCACCCTTGTGTCCCACTGCAGTACCTCTAAAGTCCACCAGTTACCACTGTTCTACACACTTATCTGATTTATTAAAGTTTGTCTAAGAACATTAGTATTTTATTACAGGCTAAGTCATGAGAAGTTTCAGCTGAATTTTTCTAATTTAAATGATCTTGCTGAACTAAAACCATCTCACAAGGCAATACAATTCTGTCAGTCTTTGCTTATGAAGAAAAGGTGTGCCTCAATAAGTATACTGACATTAATAATTAAGGTAATACAATTAGCAACAATAGTATCTTAAAGTATGCACTTAATATTTTCCCTTTGTTTCTCATACAGGCACATTACAGGCAAGTTTCCTGACTACCCTGATGAAGAGGATGGAGGTTCAATTGTTATTTTTTCTCAGAAAACCCCAGAACAGGTATCAGTCTCTTTCTCTCCTGAAAAAAGGACAGAATGCATTGTGGTTGAAATCAGAGAGAAACAGAAGCTTCTGTTACTATCCAAATGTGATTTTATAACATGCTCTCCATTCAAGAAGCTTATGATTAAAAAATTTATTGGGATTGCAATGACTTCAGTTGTATAAGCAAGCAAATAAGCTTCATGTGTTTCATTATTCACTTACTGTAAACAGAAATTTGTTCCCGTTCAATACAGATAGCTAATAAGCCCCATTTGAAAGATGTGTCAGGTATGACAACTGCAGACTGATAAACTTGTGTAAGGGACATATGAGCACAGTTGTCTTATAAGAGTTTTATGCATTTAACTGAATCTGTTCAGTTAGAGTGATGTACACAGGTTTCAGCTAGTTTAACCCCAGTTTAAAACAGTTTGGTTTGTATCAGTAAATTACACAATTAAGCTAAAACAGCGGTACTCAAGCTTTTGGCCCTGCAGGCCAAATGACTGGCATGGGGCCAGTCCAAGGGCCAGATTGAACTCCGTGTGCCAGGATTGGACCCTGTGAGGACTTAGGTAGCCCCCATGGGCCAGGATTGGGGCCCCGGGTTCAGTTCCTGCCCTCTCCCTGCCCTGAGCTCTGGGATTGGGCCCTGGGCACTTTCCCCTCCCATCCCTGTATGTCAGGATTGGGCCCTGGGCCTGGCACTGCCTTGCCCCCACCCAACCCTGGATACTGGGATTGAGCACCCAATCCAGCATGCAAAGCCTGGGGCTCCCCACAGGTACAGAGATTTAGCAGCAAAGACAACGCTCCCACCCTGCCGAATGTCTGGACCCACAGGGAACCCCATGGGCTGGATGACAATGCTAGAGGCCAGAACAGGTCCGCGGGCCAGGGTTTGAGTACCCCTGAGCTAAACTATTTTAATATGGAGTAAACTGGAGTGTTTTTACATTGGAGATTTGTAATAGTCTAAACATATTGGCTTTTAAATATCTATTTAGTTAAACCAGAGAAATGTTTCTAATAGAGGCCAGGATTAAGGGGCTTTAATGTACTGCCAAGAGGGCCATAAAGAAGTGAGAGACAGCACAAGTAAAAGTGAGAGATCTTTATATAATTTACACCTTTTTGCAACCCCTGTTAGTTGTTTTTCCTGTCAAAACCCTCTTTTGGTCCCCCTAACTAATAAAAGATGTTTGTAATCTCTTTCCTTGTTCACCACGATGTCAAATGGAGAATATCATTAAGCCCAGTTGGAGGAGTAAAGGCAAAGGTTGGCACTCAGAACCATTTTCTCCATCAACAGTGATGTTAGCAGGATGATAAATCTGTTGGGAGGGAATTACTAGGAAACCCAGTACGAGTACACAGATTCTGACCTACCAAGTAAACCAGTGGTGACTATTAGTGGGTTAGGGGAAAACCCACTGGCCTCTGTAATTATTACAATAAAGTTTCCCAGTTGCTAAAGAAAATTGTATGCATTACCTGCCTGCAACTGATTATCTTATTTAATGAAAATATAATAAACCATTCTTTTGTATTTAATAGTTTTCTAGAAAACTGCAGGGAAGGGCCTGGGGTATGTCAGCAGTATCTTTGCAGTTTTGACCACAAATAACCTAGCATAAGGCAGACCGCTGTAAAAGCCAGTTACTTTGCTTAGAATAAGAAAATAATCACATGAAGACCCTCTATGCCTCCCTACAAATGAACTTGGGGTATACTCCTGCTTTAGCTACTGATCAAGTTCACAGTTTGCTAGGGTCAGCCTGCCACCCTCTGCATCTAAGCGTCTCTATTGTACTGTTGCAGACAGAATGACCAACCAGTCTGTTAAGTTTTTCAGATTTAAAGTAGAAACATATGCTGGAGTCAAGAGGGCTTTGTTGCCTGTTCTAAGCAGCAGGAGAGCTGCCCAGCAGGTATTGCTTATTACTAGAGAAGGCTTCAGGGGACGCAAGGATAATTAGACCTGCCAACAACAAGAATAAACAAAATTTACAAATAGATTATGAAGAGAAATGGTACTAAAGCAAGACCTACTTTTGTAGTAAATGCTGGAAATAGTTTTTCCCTCCAGCTTTCTGATTCATATCTCATTTATTTTGATGTTTCTTGGGCATCTGCTTCCTCTTTGCATTGTAAATACAGGAAGTGGAAAGCCAGAAAAACAGTTTGAAAGATTGTTTTACTGCCTACTTTATCCCTGCACAAAGAAAAAATACCTAGAACTTAAATATACCTAGTTCTACTGGCAAACTTATGGTGGGAACTATTTGATTTAGAGATATTTCTGGCTTCTTTTTCTCCAGTGTAACTGAGATCAAAATCTGTCCCATAGTCTCCCAGATAGATTAAATTTATTATATACAGAGGGTACTACAATATGTTAATGAATTTGCTACGTGAATGTCAAACACATAAATAAGATATCCTTTTCTCACCTGACTCAGTCTGCATATTGGGTACATCTGAAGGCAACTGTTTTCATTCAACTTTCAGGTACTAGTAGAAATCCTGGCTCCGCTTAATTAATATGAGTTTCACCAGTAAACTTCAGTGGGGTCAGTTTTTCATCTCTTGAATGTATTACTTTCTGTGAATGGGTTTGTTACTCTCAAGTTAAGCACCATGAAAAATCAAGATAGAAATGTATTTAAAGTGAACTTTTTATAAGACTTAGGTAAAGGCACATTGGGAAACATAAAAGAAAAATAATCATTTCACAAACCATTACTGCATTACTATACATTTTTTATTTCTCTATCCCTTGACAACTATGACCTTGTTTGACTTTATAATGAAACTTGGCCTTCTGCACAAAAATAAACTTTCAGGCTTTTGGCCTAATTTTTACAGCTATTTCACAATGGTGAAATAGTCAAAATAAATAAATAAATAAATAAAGAGTTTTCCAAAGATGTCCCAATAGGATTTTTTTCTGCCTACTGATTTAGGGGGGCTTTTTGGGCTATCTTGGCTGAGAAAAGGTTTTTCTCTATTTCTTCATAGACCCTTCAGGGGATAAGATTTTGGTGAGACAATGTAATCTTACTGCATCTGGTTCAGATTTCTATCCCAAATGTCTTTTAGAGTCTTCTGTGAAGATAATCATTATGTGTGACATTTTTTGGCTTTGTTTTTATTCTACTGCCAAAAAGAACAGTTTGTTTCTCCAATTAATTCTTTTTCATTTTTAAATCAATTCATCATCAAAGTTGCAATCTAAAAAAAAGTCATATTATTCCTACAATTACTTCTAATATTCAGTAGCTTATCAAACAAAACTCCATTTACTGGGATTTGGCTTGCAGATTAAATTTGTGGGGGGATTAGGAAGTTAATTCTGAACTGCTGTAATTTCCATTTTGTAACCTGCTGGCAGTAAGAGGAAGAGGAGAGAATATATGTACTAGATATTGCACAAACGCATGTGCCTGCTCACAACTGAGTGAGCTGTTCAGCGCCATAATACAAATTATCATCATTATTATTATTAATCACCATGAAACAAGAGTAATCTATTCACAGTGTCAGTTTGCACAATTATAAACAGCAGTGCTTTAGATATGCCCATTATGCCTATGACAGACTCCAATTTGTAGAGTTTCATATCTTGAACTGCATTTTTTATACATTAATACAGTCATTCTGAACATTCATCAGCATTCTTCACATGTAACTTAATCACTTTTTAAACTGGAATACCTAAGAAAGTGAATGATTGACTTGACAGCTTTGGTAGAGAAATAGCTTCCCACGTACAGCTTTGAGAACATAAGTGCTATACTGGGCCAGACCATTGGTCCATTTAGCCTATATCGTGTTTTGGACAGTGGTGGAAATGGATTTATACAGGGAGAGAACATTCACTGTTTGGTCAGGGGGAGAAGAGGAATCAAGTTCCACTTTGGAGCCAATCTAGCAGAGAGAGGCTGCCAGTCCACCTGTGTGTCCTCTAGCCCCACCCACAAGGTAGGCTGCTTTAATTAAAACACTACTACATCTCATGTATCAGCATCCCCTCACTTAAAAATAGTGGTGGGGGCACTTGAACTAAAGCTCATTGAATGCATGGGAACACTGATACATGAGATACAGGAGGCTGCTGGGAGCATGATAATTGCCACACTCCAGCAGACTCAATTAATTGAGCCTGCTCCAACGCACTGGAATTCCAGTGCATTGGAGCAGCCTATGCGCTCACGTATAGGTGCCCTTAGATACCATGAAAAATTGACACAGCCATTGCCTTAAAAGAAATATCCAATGTATAAGTTAATTTAAGCAACAAATGAGAACTGTCAGGATGCTGCAAGCTAGATGGTCCAGTGATTTGGTATTAACCATGGATTGAGGGTTTCGTTCCTTGATTTAATGCTTCCCATGTGACCTGGGAAAAAATCACTTAATTCTCTGCCTCACTTCCTCATTTGAAGGGTGTGTGATGCACCAATACACTGGTAAAGGAGAGTTATATAAGTATCTAAGATAGAGGGAACCAACACATGTTCTAAATTAGTACCTAAAAATTGAACCTTATTCTATCTTGCTGGTAAGGAAAGAAAGGAATATGCACTCCTACGCTCCTTACTAGCACAAAAAAAGGGTGAAGCCTTCTTAGCCTCTTACTGAGAATATGACCATATCCCATCTGTTTGCTTACCTAATGATTTTGGATAGGTCCAGAAATTGGTGAGCAGGACTGAACTTAGAGAGTTGATATTCAGGACAAGGCTATTTAACATTTAAGAGTCAAAAGAGAATATAATGCTCCCTGCTAAAATGGACTGGCTCTATGTTTATTATTTCTGTTCTAAATGAATTTTAAAACCTATTTTGCAAATATATTTAGGCCCATAAAGAAACCAGTAGTCACCTAATGGGACTCAAAAGTGCTTTGGCATATTGGGTATCCTACTCCTATTGAAAGAATTACCTTTTCTGTCACGTTTTCTTGAGAGGAGAGGCTACAAATTTGATGTTTCTCTGGGATCCCTAGTTGT